AAAAAAAAATGACAGCAAAAATGAAACCATGGATTTGATCAGGCATGAATCAGTCATCAGGTTTAAACTACAGTTTCAGATGACTTCAGTCAACAAAAGACTGAAATTTTTTAAATCGGTGGGATGATCATATCTTCCGCTATAAACCTAAAACCTTAGACCAAGAACGATAAAAAAGAGGAGACTTTAGTTTGTGCGCTTTGCTAAGGGTCTCAATGGGGTGATGGCTTTTACGGCTAACGGTTAATATCTCTCCAATACGGCAACGGAAATATTTTGACAGTTAATTTTTTTGACTAACGGTTAAAATTTGTCATTTTTACTCTTAACGGCTTATTATTTTTTTTAGCCGCTTTACGGCTAATGGTTAGCCCTAGCGCGACCGGTGACCTTCCGTAAAGAAATTACCATATTTGTCGGTATTTGATTTGCTTCCCGCTTTCTTTAGGATGTTAAGTCTGTTTCATTATGCTATATTTGTAACAAATATCAATAACTCACCGAAAAAGGCTTTCTGAGCGATCATGTTTTTATTTTGAGATCGAAAGTTCGAGCGAAGACGTCATAACCATTGAGCAGTAAATCAATGACGTCACAAGTGAGACCCAACTGTTGTCACGAAATAAATATTTTGTCTCATTTGACGTCAAAAGTCTTCAACTAAGGTTTAAATCTTGATGTACAAATTTTTTTTTCTGTCTTCTCTGTGATCACCTTCTTTAGGAGGCATTTAGGCAAAGCACGGTTAAAGACGCCCAATTATTTGGTTTCACATGATTACGTAATAATACTAATTCACAGTGACTATTTTGGGAAGTTTGAATTTTGCCCCACCCCCCACAGCGAACATTATAATGCAACGGCGCAAGTTTTCAGTGTGATGGAGTCTCCTGGTTCTTACAACCTAGCCATTTTCTATTTTCGTAACTTTGAAGTAGTGCGACATAAAAATATCGACTATGGAAGCTATCACTTAATATAAAAAATATAACTCTATTGAATGACACTTTCCTATACTTGATGATTCGAAAAAAAATAGGCCTCGTAATTGGATATATTCCGCTAAGGACTACTTAAAGAATACTATTTCCTCTTGATTTTCAGCCAGGGCTAAGTTATTCGGTTGCTTTTAAAATATGTAGGGGGCACTCTTCCGATAATACCATTTTATAACTATCCGAGCGCAAGGGCAGAACCGGGGAATATTGGCCCGATCGAGGTCGCGGTAGTGAGGACCGAGTGTAACAAAGTCTGTCTAAAAACCAGCGAGAACTAATATTTCCTAGTACGACCAGAGCAAACGAAGTTAGTAAATGGTTTAGTATATGGCACTCCAGGACCGAACTTGTTTATTCAGTTGAATTTGCTGACTTTCGAGAACAAAAATACACGGCTTATGACAGTCATTGTAGAAACCGTCCGTTTAGCGAATTCCGGCCGAGTAATTTACCTCAGGAGTACCCTGCCGTCTGATAATAAACTGTAGCAGGATCCGAAGTAAAAATAAAAATAAAAATAAAAAAGAAGAAAAAGAAAATCAAAGAAATATTGAATGAGGATCGGGGAGGCCGTCGGCCTGTAGCTTCCATCTCTGAATGTGATTGAAATGTTTCTCATTCAATTTCCTAATTACCGAAAAATTTTTTTCTGAATGGTAGAGTCATTATTTTTAGATATGAAACTACTACTTACTTGGCACATTCACATCCGTTTAACGTCGAACTTCAGTTTGTTGCAAGCGACCAGCCGGAAATTTTGTATGTATTGTAATAGCTGATACTATCGTATTTTTAGCAGATCTTTTTCGCTTTCTTTGAGGAGTGCTCTTTAAACTGTCAAAAATCTTGTTGCAGACAAATTGTTGAGACAGCGTAATTCATGATCAACCCTCTCACTCTTCAAAACTAAAGAAAAATCCTCCGCGCTATCTGTTTTATATTTCTTGTGATTTAAGCTTTTAAAATTTGGTGTTGATTACAGCATTATTTCCTAGCAGGAGCTCATGAACGAAAATGGGCTCCTGCTACCTCCTAGTTAATGTCTTTAGTTCTTCTCATCACATTTTGCTTGAACCTGTATTGCTATGGTATGAGTTTGGCTTTTTCTGGGATTGAAAAAGGTTGATATGACTTATTTTGGTCATTATGTTTGGGACTAGTCGGTATCCGATAGCGCTGATGGAAAAATGCTGGAGAAGAAAATAAAACTTATGTTGCGTTTGATTGTCGAGTGGTATTTATAGATCCCATTGCAAAGAGTTAGAGGGACCTTAAAAGTCCCAGCTCAAAAATTTGGGTCGCCGTTGCGACACCGACCTTGTCCACACAGGTCATCCTCAGAAGGGCTTATTAGAACAAAAGTTGTATGTGTAATTTCACTTCACGCGACATGTGTGGGAACTTGAACCCCAGACCAATTTAATGAAACGTAAAAGGTGTTAAAAGAAATGGGATAGCTCAAAACACAAGACTACTAAAATTATACGCGCTAAATTACTGTGATGAGGCTGTAAACTGTGCAAGGAAATGGCCTAAAAAATTTGCGCATGCGCAAATTACTACTTCATACAACAGTGTTTTCATTTATAATGGCAGTCCATCCTGTAAAGTCCTCCCCTTGTACTCTGTTAGCGAAGACTGATCCCCACTCGTATCCCCTGAAAACCATGTAATTCACCCCTCCCCCCAAAAAAGAGCGAAAAATCACCCAAACCCCCAAGCTATAAGTGGAGACAGTTCCCTTTGATACTATGAGAACTTTCTTTTAAAATTGGCGACTACCACATCTGTTTATCTGAAAGGTGACCCTAAGGCATTGACTCAGTCTCCTAACAAAACCAGGAGAAAAGCGGAAAACAGACTTGATAGACAGCAGCTTGTGAATTCCGACAAAATTTTTTGTTTGTTTGTCGTTTGATGTCGCTGCTTTCTAAAATTGTAACCACCAAAAAAATTTCTTGTAAGAGCTCGAGGAAAAATTGTGCAAACAAAATAAAATTGAAACAAACCAGTTTTTCTTTCCAAACAGCTCCACCTCTACTTGCGTGCGCTACGTTATCAAGAAGGTCGAGGAACTCAGAAAACCTCAGTTGGTCGACAGAAATGGACGCTAAATGTTGAGCAAGATAATGGGTTTCATGTTTCTGCTCATGAATATAAAACAGCTTCCTGAATATTCAAAGGCTATGAATTTTGAAAATTGGCAAGCTTGCATTTCGATCGTCTTAACCGGTCGCATAACAACCACTTAAACAGGAAATTGGTTTTTTTGTTTTTGTTTTGTTTTTTAAATATATAAACACATGCCGCTTATAATTCACCTGCAATACACGAAGTCTCTTGATCTCGGACTAGTACAAAATTGAAACTGGTGGCTGTGCATCACGTCGTATTTTCGAAGAACTAGCAATTTAATATATCTTGCGTCCAGTGGCCATTTTTAGGAACTCCACCCTTAGCAAATAGGTTATATCAAATGACAAAACATATGTTGTCAAGTGATATCTTATGGTTTTGCACCCAACTTCAGTTTGATATTTAATACTCATGCTTCTGAATAGGAGCACATGTTGCTGTCTTTACTCTAGACTACAAAAAGTCCCTCTTTTTTTGGCAAATCCGCCATGCAAGTCAAAAATATCATCCGAAAAAAAAAAATTATATTAGCGCGCCGCGCGGACGCCTCGTGCAACTTACTCCCAGAGTTACGAGTGGCGCCCTAGCGCGACATACTTTTTTTTTTTTGCTAACTTTCTCGAACTCGCGCTTAAAGTTCAAGTTGTTTGGCGTCGATAACATTGTGCTGACAGGAATAAAAGGGTGAGCTGAGCAAAATCATTTGGTTATGATTTTAGATTTTTGCAGGGCGCTTATGCGAGATTATTTTCTTACTTTTACCAGGTTTACAGTGTTCAGATCATTTCATCTTCTTTGTCTCGCTTCGAATAACAGTCTTGTAAACTTTGGTTTGTAACATTTGCTCACTTTATCGTAACGAACACCTTCTCAAGCTACCGCTTAACCCTTTCACTCCCACAAGTGACCAAGAGAGAATTTCTCCTTACAGTGTCAATACAATATCAAGCAGGCGGGTGATGAGAATAGAGAAGAATATCAATCATAGGATTATTAGTTGATCCAATACCAAATTCTCTGAACTAACATCATAAGAATTGTATGGCAGATAGTAAGAAGAATTACTAATTAGATCTTGGGAGTGAAAGGGTTAAAATCCAGCCACTGCGCTTCTCAGTGCAGTTGTTTCAAAAGTTCATTACGAAGCTACAACGGTTCAAAATAAGACGGTGGTAAACACCCCCGAGGCAACAATTTTGATAAATTATTTTTCTCAGCGTTCTCTTCGGGCAACCAGCCAGAAGATTGTTAGAAATCCTTGTGAAACTCAAACATCACAGAGCGACAGAGAGCTGTGTTTATGAGGAAAATATATGTATAATTTCTATCTAGCCCTTTCCCAGCCCCCTAAAAATTTTTCCATCCCCGAGAGGAGTCTTCTCGGCAGACCTTCATCCTGTTGATTGACCTTACGCAAAAGAGCTGCAAAGCCATATTCGTCCCAAGTCCTTTCCCTTCCTCCTTCCGGAGGAAAAAGTTTCGAGAAGTTGCTGTCTAGCAACACCGTCGTTCTAGACAATGAAGTAATGCTAGTGCTCTAAAGCTAAATCTGAATTAAAAAATTAATTGCAATGGAGAATTTCTTGATGAAAGTTGTCCTAACCTTTCCATAGGCTTACCTTGTGGGCTGATAATCAATAGATCTGGCTATGTCAAACATGTTGCAAGGTGTTTCGATCCATAATCGTGTATGACACGTTTACTTAGCTGTTGGAATACTGTCTTTTTAGCAGAATCTCTAATTCATTTAAACTCTAACTTATTATTGAAAATGAAGGTATTTCTGGCAAAATTTGACACAGTGAGAGATAAAACTTCTTTGCGGCAAATTATAACCTATTCAATACTGTAACAAACAAGAAAGGATTGAAAGGAAAAGGTTTTATTTTGATTACTGAAAAGGGACAAAAAGTACAACAAACCTTGCAGAATTTAATTAATTAATTAATTTTTACAAGATTGAAAAAAAGCAATGTTTTATGATAACTAAGCTAAATGCTGCACCCATAACAAGAGGACCACCAGTAATGAAGGAGGTATACTTCACCTTTAGCGACCATACCTAAAACACAAGATTAATGAAAAATTGTTTCACGTTTGTGTTTGAATAACAAGTACTACAGTGCTTTCACTCCAATGATTGTATAGGCAACTCTTCCTTTGGATTACTTGATGTCGCCTTGTAAATCAGTTAGAAGAAATTGGTGTTATATCAAGGTGACACCTTCCAGCATATTAACCCATCTTTTCTTTTCAACTGTTCGTTGAACAATATTATGAAATCATTACTCAAAGATAATTAAGTGTTAAATAACAATTCTGTACTTTTAAAAGATTGTTTCATTTTTGTTGAATAGCAAAGAAACTGATTTTAACAATTTCAATAACTTCCATCCAGCCAAAACTTATTCCCGTTTCCTTGGCATGGGGCAACTGCGAGTATCACTACTCTCCCCTGGATGGGAAGTTAGTCCATCACAACATTACCCAAATTTCATCAGGCTTCCCTAAAAATTTAGCAGAAGCCATATAAACTCCTGGGTGGCGAAGGGAGTCCAGTGCACTGAACACTAGACCACTGTGTCTCCCATACTATGGTAATTTGTATTTCAGGAAGTAGATTAACCCTTCAACTCCCGTGAGTGACCAAGACAGAATTTCTCCTTACAATATTAATACAATATCAACTGGATAAGTGATGAGAATAAAGAAAAAAAAAACAATTTGAAGATAATTAGTTGATCCAATACTAAATTCTCTGAACTGACATTATTAGAATTGTATGGTTGATATTAAAGAGAATTCCCTTTCATTTTAGCATAGTAAAAGCATAATAGAAAAAACTTGGATGACACCATAGAAAGAAAAAATATTTTCTTCTCTCAGTTTTTTAGATTCAGGCAACATGAGATAACTTACTTTTGGAATTCCCATTCCCTGTTATCCAGAGGACAAACTTGACGAGTCTTTAACCAGCGAGAGATGCAGTGGAAGTGGAAGGCATGCTGCAGAAGAAAATACAAGGAGAAAACTGAAATGGCATAGGTGACTAAGTTATTCTTGTCCAATATTTCATTTCATAGGCATTGCAAGATACAAACTTCTCAACATACATATCTGAAGAAAAAAAACAGCAGCATTTCCAGCCATTATTAGCTCATTTTCATTGTTTTATTTCTCAGTAAATGGATCAAGACAGGGAGAACTGCCTTAGATCCTTGCATTTCTATGGCCTCAGCTATGAGTAAATAAGGTTTTGTTATTGAAATAAAGGTATTATAAATAACAATGATGTAAATAGTGCGATTTAAATCAAAATCAACATAGATTAAGGTGCATTTAATTAACACAGGTGCATTGCTAATTTCCTTTAATTAACTAAGGTAGCTTGTAAACAGTGCCTATCATTTTTCTTTGTCCCATGCTTGTGACAAGACAAAAAAACATCATTCTCTATTTCTTTACTGAGCTCAAAACTTACCATCTCTCTTATTTCTAACTACAAACATTACGCTATCAACATTGCTGATCCTAGCAGTATGAAGGGCGTGTATCATATGAACTTTGTAACAGACCTCGCTCGCCATGGAGTCTCTGTGGCTTAGTGGTAGAGCATCAGAGTGCGAAATCCGAAGGTCTGAGGTTCGATTCCTCATGGGGACTCAGAATTTTTTTTTTGTCCTACACTCGTGACAAGACGAAAAAAACATCATTCTCCAATGCCTATCATTGCACTTACATTACAAACACCCCATGCAACTGTGCACTCTTCACTTGTTGCAGAAGCCTGGTTTGCTTGGCATTCTATACCTGAAATAAAAGCAATGCAGGAAATCGATATGGCATACAGCACATGTCCAAGCTCTGTTTTTAAATAATACAGTTGCAGAGTATTTTTCCTTCTAAGTGTCTCATCTTTAATTTTCTGGGTTCCTGTTGGTTGCTATTCAGTAGCTAGACTGTAGTACACTAACTTCTTTAAATACTTCTCTGGAGAAAAAGAACGAACAATATAAAAACTGTATCATATATATAGAGTTTTAGGTTTTTGTACTAATACAGCCGTTTTCAAGCAGTCAAAACTGCCATTCCGGTACAGTCGCATCTAAACTTTTCAGAACTATCGCAAATGCAGTCAAGGAATTAAAAGTTTTTGACTAAATATGGACAGAAGACAATCAATTAATAAAAGACACAAGTTGTACCCTTATTCTGACAGACTGATGACATCCACGTTACAACAATTATCGTTTAACTGTTTCACCATGACTTACATAAATCCATTATATGATTTCTACAGATGGCGCAGTTATCAACCACAATATCTGGAAAATTAAACAAAATTTGTTTCCTAAGTAACAATTGAAACGATTTTCAGGACTTTTGGAGGAAAAAGTGTCCGACTTACCCCAAGCCCAAAGAGCAACGGCATTCCACTAAAAGAAATAGAAAGAAAGAATCACTTTTAATCCACAGAATGTCCACAGAAACTGATACGACTGAAAATAATGATCAGGAAATTTAGTTACCTTCTTAACTTCGAACCTTTTCTTGTTGGAACCTGAAGATGTCGATGAAACTGCAGGGGAGTCGACTTCCATTCTTTCGGATTCCGCCATTTTTGCTGAAATTGGCTATTTTCCGTAATGCGCAAGCCCAGTATTGTATCCTCACCCGTTTGCAAAGCAGCCAAGCCTTCAAAATGTCGGCCTTCCTGTCGATCGCGAGCAGGGCTTCTTGATTTTCTTTAGATCGTTTCATTTTTCTCACGATTATGTAGTTCTGTTCATTTTTATCAAATAATATTTATAAAGTACACTTGAACATGGCTGCTCTAGCTCGGTCCTTGAGAGGTAGTGGCAATATAACGAATCTTTATGGTGCGCTATCGTGGGAGAGATGTAATCTGGCTGTGGTACGTTCTTCAAGATGGCAACAGAAAAGGTTTATGTCGAACCCTTTGCAGGGAAAGACAGTTCGTATAGGCTGTGCCTCTGGATTCTGGGGAGATTCAATGTTGGCAGGTAAAGAAAACTGCATACCGCATAACAATAAAGCAATTTGCGACATTGGCTATAAATTGATCCTTTAACCCTTGAACTCTCGTGAGTGACCAAGACAGAATTTCTCCTTACAATATCAATACAATATCAACCAGATAAGTGATTAGGAATAAAGAAAAATATTAATTTGGGTATAGTTGATAATGTACATAAAAAAAAAATGCGCATCAAATTGGCTGAAAATGAGTGCATTCCCATGTAACACAATTGCAAAGTTGTAACAAGAATGCAAAGTACAAACAGTGCACAGACATTTTCAAAATTTTGTCTGTCTTGACTTTCTGCAATGTTTTTTCATGCACATTATTAACAAGTAATAACATGATTTCTCTTGCAATTTGGTGTTATATGAAATTTGTAAATTGGTCAAAGACTGCAAATTGCTCTCGCAATTTTGTTGTGTTTGGAAAATTTACTTGTGCTCAGAAACACCAAATTGCACTCAGAATTGTGTCATTACCTTACTAACTCTCATAAGTGATTAAAATGTAACTTCTCTTTATAATATACCAATATTATCCAGCTAAAAGGTAATGAGAATACTCTAACTCATCAGGAAGAAGCTGTCATCTTGATCTAACATCAAATTCTTGTAAATAATCTACAAATAAATGTGATGCAGCTGGAGGGGAGAATTAGCAATCAGATTGCAATGGTTAGTGATGCCCAGCTCTTGTCTGTGGTCCTAGGCTTGTACCTAAAATATAGCTCTGGTACTGCCATAGATCATTGACTTCTACAGGTAATTATGATTTGATTCAGAAACATTGGGGAAAAAGCCACCTCAAGGAAAGGCCATAATCAAAATCTAATTTAGATATATAATTTGCATAGCATCCTATTAATTCTACCTACTTTTTCATTTTCATTGTAGCACCACAGCTTGTTTCCGAGGGCAATATAGATTATCTTGTGTCTGATTACTTGTCGGAAATCACAATGTCACTTCTGACAGCAGCTAAAAGAAAATCTCCTGTAAGCACACTGTATATGTTACTGTTTAATTTTATCCTTGATTTTAATTGTAATATTCTTTGTGTTATCATTACTTAAATTATCATTCACATACATGCCCTAGAACAAGAGGAAATAGCATTTAACCAAGGAAAAAGTATGTTAGATTAATATAAGCTCAAATTATAATTTTACGATATATATTATGTGATAATGTCATTTGTTTATAATCTCTGTGAATAATGGGGCGAGTTACTGTTGGTTTCTTGGGATCAATTTCAGTATCTGAAATGACCAAGGGCTAATGCTTAAAACGCCAGCTTTGAAACTCTTTACGGTGGCCAGTTTATCCTATCAACTCAGTTGATAATACTAAATTATCCTGTTATACTCTCTCACTGATGCAGCACCACAGTTTCCTTAGAAACTTACCCCCTTAATTCTCTGAAGAATGTGTGTGGATACACAGGTTTTGTTTGTTACTTTATTTAACTGTAGTAAATAATAAACAGTAGGAGTGATTATTTGACTTTTTCAGACTATGGGGTATGCACCTGACTTCATACAGTCTGTTATGAAAGTACTCATCAAACCCATAAAGAAAAAAGGTAGGGGGTGACTGGGTACCACCATTGTCAAACAATGATCAGACTTAAGTTGAAGGTACTGAATCAAATGCTTCTTATAGCTCAGTAACTGAATACTCTATTCAACAAATACATTCTATGGTGCGGTACATCTGTTCAGTAATAGATCACAGATGATGTCCAAATGAGGAAAGAACGAAAAAGTGGCACACGCAGTGCAGCTGAGTATGTCACCTAGGTATATCACTGATGATGTAGTCTATGATCTATCACTGTACAGACCCATGGCAGTATAGAATCTAATTGTTTTATATGATAAAAAAGCACAATGTTCTTAGTGGTGACATCATCTATGCCTCTGTCCTCCAACAGATCATAAATATAAAACCATCAAAATATGTGAAAGATTCAGCTTACAATACAATCAAGAAATTAAGTATAAGTTAGAATGAACTTGATTTACTAAAACAAACGATGAGAAACATTTTGCTTTGTTGATGTTATCTAAAGAGGTAATGAATGACTTTATCTCAAATGAAGCCTTGTGTAAGATTCAGTTCATCATTTAATCAAGAAATTAGTTGTAAGTTAGAATGAACTTAGTTAATAACATAGCCATTCCCTTAAAATGAGGAGGAGAAAGAAGCTTTGTTGAGGACAATTCTATGTTCACTAGAGTGGTAATGACTGACTTTTTCTCAAATGAAGCCTTGAACAAAGTTCTCCATTTCTTGAAGCATTTCTCTTCAATTCAGATTTCTTATTCAACATTCAGGTATTCGTGTGGTCAGTAATGCGGGAGGAGTCAATCCACACGAGTGTGCCAAAGCTTTGATTGCTGTGGCAGAAGAAGCTCAAACTGACTTAAAAGTTGCCGTTGTCACTGGAGATGATCTTATGGGGGACATTGAACAAATAAAGCAGGCTGGCATTAAAGAGATGACAAGTGGTCAAGACTTCCCAGACAGTGTTGTCAGCATGAATGCATATATAGGGTAAGAAACAGTGGGTACTCATTTGGTAAGATACTCTTACAGGCCCCTTCCACTATTATGAGTGTCATTTCAAGCTCAAGAATTGAGACAAATGAACCCTGACACCCGATACACTTGACTTCTTGTGCAAGGTTCCTGTGATGCCCATTGAAAAATTAACCCTTTACACCCTAACACCAGCATGCATATTCACCATACTGTTCTCTAAAAAAATAAAATGTTGACAGGAAGAATTTTTTTCTGAAATCAAGAGCATCTACTAATTGGTGATCATTCCCTTTATTTTTTTTTTGACCTTAATGTTGAATTCAGGGGTGATATTGTAAGGAGAAATTAGTTTCAAGTCACCACTAGGGGTCAAATGGTTGACCCTTTAACTCTTAGAAGTGATTAAAGTGTGACTTCTCCCTCTAATAACCATACATTATCCAACAAGCAGGTAATAAGAATACACAAACTTATCAGGTTAAAGTTTTTATCTTGATCTAACACCAAATTCTTGCAGCTATTTTACAAGGAAATGTGTAGCAGCTAGAGGGGAGAATTAACATTCAGATCCATGGGAGTGAAAGGGTTAAGCAGTTAATGGAGCCCCCATGCCAAATTATTATTATTTTCAATAATATTATAATATACATAATTATTATGTTTAACTAGGTGATATTTGTAGTACATTGATTTTTTTTTGTTGAAAAAGCTACTTTCATTAATTTTTATTTTTGTTTAATTATTAGAGCCCTTCCCATTGCAAGGGCCTTGGAACTTGGTGCAGATGTAGTTCTTACTGGAAGATGTGTTGACAGTGCATTGGTTCTTGGCCCTCTTATGTATGAGGTAAACCCCTTCTATATTGACAGCTTATCCTGTGCATTAAAAAAAAAATGTTCTGCTAAAATCAGTTAAAAATGTAAATTTCATGTTTTAACCTGCATTAATCCAAAATTTTTGCCATAGCTCCATGAATTTTGCCTAACTAGTTCTCCCTGCTAGATTACAAAAATACGTGCTTGTTATTGTGTTGACAATGTTATTTAAAATAAAATGTAACATGACATTGTCTCTTGTAGTTTGGATGGAAGCCAAATGATTATGATTTACTTGCATCTGGAAGGTTAGATTAAAATGATGTATGGCAAATTACATTATGGATTATATATGATCTAGTTATGGATAGTGAATTTTACATGAGATTTAATATACTTTCAACCAAAACAGAATTCACACCTGCTGAACATGTTTAGTCAAACCTCAAGTATTACCAAATTGTATTTTCAATTTGATAAATTTTTTGAAGGCAACAATCATTGCAGCTTCTAAACTGTATGAAGAAAACATTTAAACTGTGTTTAGCAAAACATCTTTAAAATATGTGAAGCTTTGAATTCTCAAGGTGTTAAGTTTTGGATAATGATAACACATTTTTTTTTTTTGAAGCATTCAGGGGGCCAGAATCTTAAATTGTCAAACCTGATTAGCCAATTGCATGTTCGTAGCTGGTCCAACTTTTCACAATGCTGTCTATGATTCAGAATTTTTTCTGTGCCATTGACGGTGAAGTGGAGAAAAACCAAAACCATCAAAGTTAGTCTTCAGCCTTTGGCCCTGGGCCATACTCATGACCTCAGGCTCAGTTTTTACCCATACAGGCCTCCTGCCCTGTAAATAGTTGATATCTGTGATTATATTATTATATATTTATCCACATATATACTAACTAATAATTTAATGATTTTTAGTTTGGTGGGTCATTTAGTTGAGTGTGGGGCCCAGTGCACTGGAGGAATCTTCACTGACTGGCAGACTGTACATAATTGGTGGGTATCTCAATCTTGAATTTAAATTTTATGGTGAATTTTGCAAAATTGAGTTTTTTAATATTTTGGTAATTTTGGGGGTTGTGGTAACTTTATATTTTGAATAACTTATTGTTGTCTGAACTTTTGTCTGTATCTGTTACTTGCATTCTACGTACCAATCAAAGTGGGTTTTATCTCTTTAGGGACAATATCGGTTATCCCATAGCTGAGTGTGCTGCAGATGGAAAGTTTATTCTTTCTAAACCTCCCAACACTGGAGGGCTGGTGTCTCCATCTACTGTAGCTGAACAGGTTTGAGGAAGTTTATTTTTTTGTCATCTTTATTGTTGTTATTATTATTTGTTGCTAAGGTGTTATAAAGGATTAAGCAGGAAACATTTCTCTTTTTTTTTCCTTCCAGTTGGTTTACGAGCTTGGAGACCCAGCTCAATATGTTCTCCCAGATGTGACTTGCGACTTTACGCAAGTCAGGCTTCAAGGACTCATTGGTGAGTGCTGTAGGCCTACAATATAAATATTCCTTTCTAATTCATTTATACACTTGTTTTTGATATTTGGTGTATACCTGACACACCCATTTGGTTACTTGATGGAATAGTTCAAAATGTGCCTCTGTAGAATTCTTTATCGCAGTCAGAAATGTTGTCCCATTTCAAGTGTGCAATGTAACTTTTAAATTGGTTCATTTATGAAATTCATTGTCTTGAAAATACTTTACGTCCAATTTGTCTTTCCACATGCTTGCCAATAAATCCCTCTGTGTATGGTACCTCTTAGACATCTTTATTTTGCCAAGTATATCATAACTTGTCACATTTAATTGTAAATATTAAGCGATATGCTTCCTTTCTGGTGAAGCAATAAGTTGTCTCTGATAATTAGATCTGAAATGTTGATAAGAAGAGCTACTCAGGAGTTGAAATAATTGAACATTCCTTCTGGATTAGGTTATGATGGTGGAGCAGTTCTTGTTCAGGGTGCAGTTGGCAAACCAGCCTCAGATGCGTACAAGGTATATTTAATTTAGTGAAATAGAAGGAGTAAGTTCCTAAAGAACGTGTGGTGCTGGATCGGTGGGGGTCTGGGAAAGGAGAAGCAGAGTTGTAAGTGCTTTGCCCATTGTTATTTTTATGCGTGTGAGAATTAAATTGTTTCCTCAAAACTACAGATGTGATCCTTGAAAAGTTCTGCGAGTGCCTCGATCTTTAACCCTTGATTCTTGATCTTCAGGTCTTGATTCTTGATCCTTAAACCTTGATTCTCGAGCCTCAATTCTCTGTTATTACGAGGATCGAGTTTCGTGTCAAGACTGTCGATCTACTTTTTAGCGATACTTCAATTGGGTTTTATCATCTGTGTTGATAAATAAATGTAAATTGGCCATCGGAAAGATTTAGAAACTCTTTATGGTGGTCAAGTTACATTTATTTATGAACTCAGTTGAAATAATCAAATTATTTTAAATACTGCGCGTAAAGTCACAAGTCACCATTTTTGAAACCCATTGTGATACTTATTCCGATTTGCCACTCATCATGTTCCCTTTGATAGTGGATAGTTTTGGTGTCTTTTCTCTATTAGGAGCTCTTTGAATTTTTTCACTGACAGATGTCATAATTTGTGTTTTGTAACAGGTTTGTGCAACGTACGCAGATGGATTTCGTGCCACAGCTGTTTGTCCCGTTGGAGGGCCGTTTGCTTCACTTAAAGCTAAGAAAACGGGCGAAGCCCTCTTGAAAAGGTAAGATATTTTGACCCCTACTAAGCTGAGATGGCGTCCGATTGCATGGTTAGCATACTAGACATAAGATTACCTTGTTCTGAACAACTTGCTCCTCGTTGTTTGAGCCACTTGTTTCGTGTGCAAACTATCGCCTTTTGACTTATACACGAATATACTTTGCCTTAGGCCCGGTTCATACGTCGCATTTCTGCCGTGTCGAATTCAATTCAACGTGCCGACGTCTGAATCGGCTGCCGCATTTCTGCCGCACGTTCGACTAGTCTTGTCGCATTATCCGACAGAAATGCGACACCGATTCAAACGTCGAATTTCTGCCGTGTCTTCATACATTATGTTAATGTATTGAGCATGCGTAGACTGAGGCTAGCTATAAAAAGATGGCGTCACGAAGGGAAGAGACTTCAGATTCAGAAGAAGAAAGCTCTTTTTCTTTGTCTGACAATGAAAATTTGGCCCCGCCGAATAAAAAGAGACGAGGCAGAAAAGCGCAATGGCGAGATTGTCACGTCGCCGACAGGATCGATAAACTTGTGTTGCATTTTGATGAGACAAAATGAGAACAATCAACAGCAAAAGTTGAATTATTAGTCTATGCTTTTCCTGAAGACGATGCAGCATATACTGTTGCAGTGTCAGCCTCCTCCTTCGCCTTCCTTCAAAAACTTTTTGAAAAATAAAGAGCCTCCGTTTAGTATCTTCGTCCGCCATATTAGATAGTTACGTCTAGTTACGTAACCAATGTAACATTTTTCCGCTGACGGACCTGCACCGCAGTATCAATTCAAAGAATTAAATTCGGTAGAAATTCGACGTATGAATCAGCTGTCGCATTTCTGCCGCACTTAATTGAATTGAATTCGACACGGCAGAAGTGCGACGTATGAACCGGGCCTTAGAAAAGTATACACGATGCAAAAGCTTTATCTTTTTCCAGTTGTAATGTCCTGACAGTGTATATTCAACAATTGGTTCATACGTAAGCGTGCGTTCTTCGAGATATGAAGCACGCGGGAAGTTTGGAGAGCACGAAAGATGTCTAGCTTCTTGAGTGCTCTCCAAACTTCCCAAGTGCTTCATATCTCGATGAACGCACAGCTGACGTATGAACCAATTGTTTTATAACATTTTCAATCCGATGGTTTAAATGTTGTAAAAGGGTTAATATTCCCTCTGCTACGCTTAAACGCATTGATAATTTTGTTTCAGGAAAACATTTTGCTACGCTGTAAACGATCTTGTTTCCATGTTTAGCCTAAATTGTCGCCGAAGTCTTAACCGGTTTTTTAATAGTAAAATCCCAAAGCAAAAAAATCGCGGAGAAAATTTTTTTCTCGAGGGATTTGTTTGCTGACGTCATTAACGGGCGACAATAGGAATATGAAGCACGCTCACGCAATTGAATTTGATTGGACAAATTTACTACCTAAGTTATAATAGTAATTGTTTCCTCTTCGAGCAATTTTCAACTGAGTTTCGAAAGTATTCCGGGATTGCTTTAGTTTCGCTTTAATTCGTTCTGTGATTGGTCCAGAAAACTTCTACCATTCTCTCGACCAATCAAATGCAAAACTAACACCAATCTTGGACACCCGCGTTTTCCCGTGTTTTCCCGCGCTTTCCCGCGTTTTCCCGCGCTTTAGGCGAATTACCCTTTTTTTTTTTTTAAGTTGTTACTGGCTCTTCTGGGTATTTTCCTTTCTTTTGATCGGCCATTGTAATTTTTTTTTGGTTTTGGTTTACGACACAAGCGCTTTATGACTCTCCTGCCTCTTTTGGGAATTATCAGCTTCTAATGACTTTAAATTGGCAAAATTTTTATAGGACAAGAAGAATGTTTGAAAATTTAAAGCTGGATGACTACACACGAACTCATATTCAGGTAACAGTTCTGAAAGTGCTGCTGTGATATCGATACCACATGTTGCTGTCCGTTCAATTCTGTTTGCAGTCAATATATCCCTTCACTTTCCATGAGTGACCAAGACAGAATTTCTCCTCACAATATCCACACAATATCAGGCAGACAGGTGATGAGAATAAAGAAAAATATCAATTAGGGGATTATTAATTGATCCAATCATGAATTCTCAGAACTAAAATCAAAAGAATTGTATGACAGTCATTAAATAGAATTAAGGATGAGATCTTTGGGGTGAAAGATCCAATCTAGACAAATATAGATTTCGTCTTCTCGGATAGGACGTAAAACCGTAGGCCCCGTCTCCAGCAGGGTTGGGGTAGGAGACGTTAATTTCCCACGCACGAGATTACTGTGTGGTGGATGTCCTCCCCTGGGGTGGGATGGGTGGAAGAGACACTAATTTTAAAAGCGCCTTTGATCATATAAATGTTTAAAGGGCGCTATAGAAGTAAATAAATTGTAAAGCGCTATTGAATAGCAATAGAAATAGCGCTATATAAATACTGTATTTGTATTTTGTATTTGTATTGAAAGAGATATCTGAACAATATCTTTATTAACGCCGTACACAATTCCGTGTCAGGTTTTGGGCTCCGAGGAGACATATGGAAAACATGCCTTTCCAGGGATCATGACAGCAGTAAGTAATTAAAAGGGTGTAAGAGACAGTTTTCGAAAGACTTGAGGCACTGTGTGAATCTAACAGAAATTTCAGGATCTACTGCAGATTTGTAGGTGTGGAATTAACGAGTTTGGGCTGGTCTGGAAAGTGAGTGTTGGAAAATAAGTGTGAATATGGTGATCGGAGGTTTTTAAGACTCACATGAATGTATTATCTCTCTGGCTATATATGCACCTTTATCCGAGCAAACAGCTTATATTATGGAGGTTTCTCGTCCTTGCACAAGTTTTCTGCTCACAGAAACTTCAATTTCGATAAAACTGCTAAAAAGAACCGCAAACCTGAAGCACAATTTTAAATTAATTGACATTTCACACTGTTTCTTTTTGTATATTGAAGAATCCCAGGGAAGCAGTATTATGGCTGGCAGTTCATCATCAGCAGAAGAAAGCATTGGAATTGTTTGCAATGGAAATTGCTTCCGCTGGAACCAGTATGGGTGAGTTTGAGTATCTTCACTGTCAACATTGCAACGCCAATTCCAAGGCTCAGTGTACTAATTTCAAGGGTCATAACGTCGCCACAGAATCAAAAAGCAAATGAAGAAGAAGGCAAAAACCATAGTTGCGCTAAATTTTTAATATTCATGGTAGCTACTGCACTTATAAGTAAAAATTACCCCAAAATTAGAAAATAAGATGTTCGCGCCTTTAAGGATTTGTTCTAAAACTGATATAAACCTAAGAAAGTAATTTTTAAGCTAATTAATTCCTAATTAGCTTTTTCCTCTGTCACTTTTGCTCCTTGCATTTTTCTGTAGCAACGTTATGGCAGTTAGGCGTATCTTTGTGAAACAAAAAGCCAGCTCGCTCGAAGTCATCGGCGCCCATCCAACCGTTGCTTATACTGATTTCAGTGGCACGAAGAAACTAAACGTGTTACTACCTCTCAATGGACAATATTTCAAGAAATCACGAGGATATCTTCCCTCCCCTACCCCCTCCTACCCCCACTGACCTTTCTTCTGGTTTCCTGGATAGTTTGCTGGTATCCATCCCTACTCCGATCCTGAAAGGTAAAAGATGATGACGTGATGAAAATCACATCGCAGCTTATTTCTTTTGCAGCCCCTGGATTAACTGCCATCGTTGGAGGAAGACCGAGAGTGTAAGATTTGAATTTCTGTTTTCTTTAGTAAAATGTGTGACCACAATTATTTTGTTTTGTCTTCGACCTGTTCATGAAACGTTTCTTCTCTTCTTGTTTAGCTCTCCATTGCTGAGACTGTATTCTTTCTTGTATCCCAAAGACAACGTCAAGGTGGGAAAGTAGTAACCAGTTTTAACTCACATTATCATTCCACAATTACGCCATTTTATCCTAGAAGGGCATCGTAACGCGCAAAATATGTCATGGTATTACACTTAAGAACAAGGCAAATTTTTCAAATTATATTTTGTTTTGTTTTGTTTTGTCTCAGGTTGATATTTTTATGAATGGTGAACATGTGGAAACAGTTTCTCCTTCAGTACCAGATGAACAACCAGCAGCACCTGACAGTGAGACACGCACACATGATGCGGTACCAAAAATTCGTAAGTTTGAGAAATTGCTTGAATCTAAAGGCTGGTTATCACTTACGACAGAGTTGAGGGCGTAATGAAAAGCACAGAGCAATACGATCCAGTGAAAAGTAAACCGATGGAATTGGAAGACTCGAGAAATATCGATTTTTGTTGCTTACGATGCAGTAACAGGTGGATTGAATTTCTGTGTACAAATATTTACTGGGTTCAGTTTTCGGCAAAGATGATGTGGCTGGACGAAAGATGGAGTTACTATTTGCCAGCTATCGAAATGTAAACTATGCAGTTATTTAGCTCAAATGAAGTTGGTGCACCATTAACACTGTTTTTGTGTTCATCCCCTTAAGGAATGCCAAAGGGCCGTTGTACATTTCCACTTAGCTCTTTAGCACTGACGAGGAGTGGTGATAAAGGCAACAACGTCAATATAGGTAAAGTGTATATCCCTATTGCGCCAACTCGTCTGATTCTTCCTCTACATTGAGCGTTTCATCTAACTGTACTTCAGACTTATCCTACTCTTTAGTCTCATGTAAGAGGTCGTGGAGCTTGCAACTCTTTCAAACATGCATTGCCCAACAAATAGAAAGGAAAATTGGAAATATAAATACTGCGGAAAGCTTTCTGATTTTGTAACCTTGTGAATCTTTTTCAGGTGTAATTGCTCGCCATCCTTCCTACGTTCCCTTCATACGAGCGGCACTGACCGAGGAAAGTGTCGCGAAATATTTTAGTCACTTATTTCCTTCTCCACCAGAAGAAGGACACTGTAAAGTTAAAAGGTTAGCGTGGCATAAGGGGGAAAATTGTTAGAAAAGGACTTAGCAAAACTTGTTTTATTTTTGCACATTGGTAACGATGAAATCCAAAAACAGGTTTTATTTCTACATTCAACCAAGAGAAGGGCACCTGATATTTGGCGCCGGCTGTCCCACTAAACTAGATTGAACAAATTCCAATAACAAAAAATATTGTTTAACTAAGACGACTTTGAAAAATGGTTATCTGCAAGATACCACTGGCCTCTGTGACGACAAGTTTGCACTTAGAGTACAACCATGGATAGATGGACACAGAACTTTTCCTGAAGAAGTGCCGACCAATTGCTGGAGTCGCAAATACGTATTTAAGAACGACTGTTACATTAAATTAGAGTAAAATTCGGCGCTTCAAAAATCCAGTTGGCTCACAACTGGTGAGGCTTTTACCAGAACAAATCGAGGAGCCGGTGTTGGGAGATCCAATGTAGTTCCCTTATATCAATCATGAAACATCTCGAAGATTTTTTCTGGTGTTTAAAAGCTAGGCTCATTTTAAGGTGCCGCAACAGTTTATTGTCGTATTGATTGCATTTGAGATATCACGCATCATTTCAATTGACCTAAAAGAGGCACAAGAAATCTTATGCTGATACTGCAAGAAGAATCGCAGCAATGCTTTGGTTTTGCACAGTGCTCTAACTCGTTAATTAAAGTTAGGGAAACGAGAGCTGATGTAGGTAGATTACTTAGTGTGAAAACTTGTTTCCATACGGTTAATCATTGTTGATTAAGTTAAGTTTGATATGAGTCTGTCTGAAATCTGTGTGCAGATTGCATTATTCGTCTAATGCCATCCTTAAAAATTGCAAAGTTAAGTAAACTTGCATTTTCTTATTGTAGATATGAACTTCCAGGGATCAACGCATTTAACTTTGTCTTAGAAAATGCTTTAGGAGGCGGCGGGGTGACATCATTACGCAGCGACCCACAGGTGAGGGTTCGGACGCGCAACACGTATTTGCAGCAAGTAAAGTAAAGTCTTGTGGCCATAAAACCTCGGCATCTATTACTTATTGTTCCCTGAAGCTCAGCTGTGTCCTTCGAACGTCTCTTGTGTCAGTGTATCTCTGTAATTTTACTTTGTATATCTCGAAACCCTGGTTTGCATTTTGAAAAATACCATATCATCTGTTATCATTGAACTAAGGTTGAACTGTATCTATGAGCTCATATCCAATTTAAGTTAAAGATCAATTGCTAAGATTCATGCAGAAGTACTCGCTTGGAATTAATCCTGGGTTGTGATGAGATGACGAGTTATGTTTTGTTTTTTCAGGGAAAAGCTCTTGGTCAGATGCTTTTAGACTTCAAGATAAAGAATGTTCCTGATATTTTACCATCTGTCATTGAACCCAGCCTTTGAGGACTAAGCTTAAACTTGTTTACCAGCGACACAACATTTTGATTCCTCAGGCTTTTTTTTATGGAAACACCGATTACGGTTGCCATATTCAAAAAAATTTGAAAATAATCAATCATATTGATTTGGTTTTGTCTGTGACTAATTTGATGTCGAAGTGGGAAGGTAAAGGTTACGTATGAAGACGCGATCACAATTACGTATATTTATTGAACGTATCCTTATCAATGAATGTCCTAAGTTTTGTAACATTTTTTAACGGCTTTTAGCAATCTTAATGGCGTCTTCATCGTTCGAGGAGCATTATCAATCGCGGTATATTTTCCTTCCAGAAAACCGCTTTAATCTTGATCATCGTTAATACATTGCCAGTGTGAACCAAGTAAATCCTTGAGATACCTTATGGAAAGTTTTAACAACAGCCTCAACAGTTGCATTCGGGCTTGATGATCACGACGGAAATCAGTAGTAACAGAATTCCCATACCTCTGACCATGGTTACACACAAATCTTTTGTGTAACGAAATACGAAAATTAAACAGATAATCGGATAATGGTTTCAGTGGCTAGGTTATTTCCAAATAGAGGGCACCAATGATCGATGCATACATTGCTGGCGTTGCACTATTACTTGTATTTTTAGGCGTATCAACCCTTTGTGATGGGTCACTGTCATTCTTTCATGAGCATAGTACTTCGCTGCGCACGTTGCAAGCTCCGCTATTAAGTTTTTTTAAAACCAAATTTTGCATTAGGAAGCACTGAGTTTTCAAAAAGCTTGGCTCAAGTAGCTATTTAAGTAAGGTATGGGTATAGGCAATTTGTCTTCTTGTGTTGTGAGCACCACCGATCTGAAACTTGACATGTTACGGATTTCCTAGAACGTCGGACCCTTTGGGGCTTCAGTTCCCAAGCAACACCTAGAGAGTTTTGGCCCTAGACATCTTTGGTAAATTACAAGTGTAAAGTCTTTTTTAAATTTCCATGTAGGATTAGCAGTCTTTTTCAGTACTGAGAAATGTTGCCCTCACTTCATTTTGATAGGACTGTAGCTTCACCTTTTGTAACGATGCTAATGAGCTTAACCCTTAAACCCTAAGAGTGACTAGCACCTAATTTCTCCTTACAATATCACTTCTGAATCAAACATGAAATGATCCTCAACTAAAGAAGTTCTTTATTTTTAAACAAATTTTCTTTGTCAGCACCTTGGGAAATGTACAGTAATTAGTATGGAGAATATGGACATTGATGTCAGCGGGTAACGGATTGAAGGCAATTAATAACTTGAAATATTACACGGCCTTTAGGATTGTGGTAGTCTAAATCGTCGAAAATGATGAATTTAATAACAGTGAATATGCATTTACTTGGATATTTTATGGCGAAATTTACAATCATTTTCATCGGAAAGATCAGTCACAAGATTCGACTCTCAGAATCGATTTGAAATTCAGCATTAAAACCAAACATCAACCGATAAAATATTTATTTTCTTAATGTGTGCACAAATATGTAAACAGTGTTTGTAGAAACTTGTCCAAGTGTGATGATGTCTCTCACGACAATGTTTGTGATAAACAAAGCATGCGTTTCGTAGTATTGTGGTTCGAAATAAGAGGGAAGTGATGTTTGGTGTATAATATGTCTTCTTTAGAAAGTCAACATCTGAGTGAATTTGTCAAGAAAATTACGGATAAGTCTAAGACTTGGTGGACAAACAGGCATTTTGGTTTCTTTAAAAAAGATATGGCCTAGCCTGATGAGGATTTTTAGGAGATCGTTGTGACCTTGCTAAGCTTATATTAGTTGAAAAATAATGACAAGTTTAAATGTAGGAAGTCTTCATGAATGCTACTTTTATCCTAGAACATATTAAAAGAGCCTCCTATAACTTGATTCGCTTTCTTTGTTGGGATGAAACATTAAATGAGGTCTGAGAATTGTGCATTTGCTCAACTGTACATCACAACCTACGGTTTCGCCTCCGTTCCGCATTTCTCCTTGAAAAATAAATTATGTCATTTATCGAGTGGGAATGATTTTCGTCGTTTATTTAGTAAATTTTGGGCCATTGTTAGTTACATTACCCCAATCAACATCCCGTTTGCTGGAATCAGAGTTTCTTGATATGTTTTTACAGTCCTTGATTTATTTACTTTGGATGTCGAAATGGACCAATTATTTTCATCCGGTTTTGATTGCCAGATTGAAACAAAACCAAGTTGGTTTCTTGTCAGTAACTTACTTGTCCAGCACAAAACGGATTGAGGTCTTCCTTAAATCAATGAGTTGTATTACACGTTCTCATGTTGTTGACGGAAGGCGCATTTTGCTATTAACATGAGAATATGTTCATTGCGCAATGCAATTAAAAAATGTTTTGTGGTTCTCGTTTCTAAAACTGTAGAGACGTTATATATGGAATACTGTCCGCGCCTTAATGGTGATTCGAAAGTGTAGAACTTGAAAACGTTCATTTTTCAAATTTCAAGTACAAATCCGAGCATTAATTATTGATATCTGGGCTTCGAATAAAGCTACTTCTCGGATGATTCATCATTACGTTAGAGGCATTTGTCATCTTTACGCAAACTTTGTTGAGAATAAATTATCAAAATTAGTAGACAACATCTTAAGTCGGCCATTTTGAGTTGGTTTCGACAAAAGACTTGCCATCTGTAGCTTGAATAAAGTTTTTTAAAAATAATCCATATGATTATTTACCAAAGAGACATTTGTCCTCTTTGAGCAAGCTTTGTCATGGGTAGACCCTCACAACAATTAGCGAAGACCAGTAGTCGTTTTTTTTTGTTTTGTGTTTCAGTTTTTTTAGTTGACTATCGGTAAGAGAGCCTACAATCTTGCGAATTAAATTTTAATGGGGATAAGTCTTAGATATGAATTAAATATATGGCTGAATAAGCTTCAGTGTTTTACGTTAGGCTTTGATTAAAAAAAAAAACGTGTTAGGAGAGACCAGCTAATTACAGGAGCAGTTCCTGTCCATTTTCTCTCTTCTTTAATTATTGTAACAGGAAATATAGTTTCTTTGGACAACTGCACATGTTCGTTGTGCATTGTTCATCAGATCTTCTTACCATATGGCATCATAAATTCTACTTCGGTTACAACTCCGCAGTCAAAATGGTCACAGCACATTCATTTTTAACCAATGTTCTTATTACTGCGTCGGTCAGCCTTATTGTGTTCGTCTCTATACTGGTCAATGGCTTGGTTCTAGCAGTCATTGCTCGGTTTAAATCGCTACGAACAATACCGAATATTCTCATCGCTAATCACGCACTCGTGGATATACTCAGTGTAATTACAAACTCGACCCTCTTCGTGGTTGGCATCGTATGGAAGGCCAGTTGGTTTAGAGGGTGGACTCTCGCAATCATTAACAGTAGTGTCAATCGACTCTTTTTGATGTTGAACCTTGTCTCCAGGCTCGCTATGATGACAAATATGTACCTAGCCATTTCTTTTGGTTTCAGATATCTCGCTTGGAAGACAAAGACAAAAGCCCTGGTCTGTGTGTTTCTCATCTGGTTGATCTGTATCTCGATGGTGATCTTGTTAGCGTTGCCTCTACTCCATATCGACCTTGGCGATGCCCATATTACTGAATACAGAGTAGAGATCTTTAGGAAAGCAAGATATCTCTTGGCTTCGAGCACATTTTTCTTCATTATCTGTGATGCAGTTGTATGTTTTCTGACAGCTCGTGTAATAAAGAGGGAGAGTAAAAAGGTATGGGAAGGATCTTGTCAAAATTAACATAAATTTAGTTAGGCCCAGATAGAAGCTGGGAGTTTTCTTTCATAGTGAACACTCTCCCGAGTTTTGGTAGAATCTTTCAAACATGGTCACCTGAAAATATGTAATTGTAATAATTCAACTTTCGTTTAGGATTTTTACCACAATTGGCAGTAATGTCGCAATATTAATCTGATAGACCAATTTGCCGTTGTCGTTAAGAGTACAGACGCAGCTCGCGTGAACGTATCACGCTATGGCCACGCACTGAAAGAATCGTTCAATTTGCTCCAGATTCAGTGGGCTGCGATAATGTGTGTGATAATGTGATATCGAGGAGAAATTCCATATCTAAGCCCTCCCATGTATTATTCTCTATATATCAGATGAGTTAGACGTAGTTTAAGAGTAGTTGACTATACAGTGACGCTCATAGAGAGTTGAATACGGATTACTTGAAGTAAAAACACGGAAATTGTGACGTATCGGCGATCACTGCTACAGAGCGTTTTATCAGGAGCAAAAGACCGCTAAGTAATCCCGAAGAAGATTTGTTATTTCTGAATGGATGCCCGGCTCTTGTATGTTACAAATTGAATATAAATTACGTAACTCTGCCCTGAATATCTCAAAAAGCACCTTGTTCCGAGAAATTAGTTCTGTGGTACATACAATCTCTTATTTTTTGCAGAGGAAAGAAACGAACCCTCCTGCTCAACAAGCTGAAGCTCAACTGAAAAGGGATTTGAAAGCAACCAAAACGATCGTCATAACAATGGCTGTGTTCTTGATCTGCTTTATTCCTATTGGCGTGTTTCCAATAGTTAATCTCATTGAAAACAATATTACGACTGATCACTGGCTTTCCTATGTAGCCCGTTACAGTTACGCGCTCTCCAACACAGTGAACCCGATCATCTACTATACGCGATTAAGTCGCTGCCGCTTGGCTTTAAAGCAGTTCGTAAAAGACCCTTTCGGATCAAGTGATTACAGAGAGAAGCCAGACATTCATGTCACGTGTCAAGTGAGTAATGAAACTGGGAATAATACTGAAGAAAAACATGGCCGTGGTATCCAAACTAAAAGAAGGTCATCAAGACAAGCAGATAAAAGCAAGCGAAGAAATGCAGTAGTGCCTTTATCCTTTTAGTAGCCTGAAAAGTAATTCGGGCGCTTAAAATAATGGTGAAAAATTAGCAATGATTCAATCGTTAAGTCCAAAACGTGAATGAGTTTAGCGAAGAGGGAACTTAACGATTAGACGCACAAATTAGTCTAAAAAAAAAGGCCTTTAGGGATTGATGTCATTATCTGACCTTCCTATTCCAGAGGTGGATGGGATAGACTATAAAACCAGAAATTTAGGACGCGTGGAACGACAAAAAGCTTTAGCTACAGTAGTGCTAAACTTTGGAACAGTCTTTTTAGCGACCTTAGACAAGTAGAGTCCCTTGAGCAGCTTAAACGGCTCATCAGAAGAGTTTTTTAAGAACGGCATTCGTGGAAAGAAGCTTTTTGTTTAGTAAGAGCTTTTTATTTTATATGGTATCAATGCCTTTTAAAATGTGTACATATATGTCGATATATTTAGCATTGCTGACGAATCGACCGCGGATGAATAAAATTTAAAATGAAATAATTGTATAATAAAGGAACAAAATAGCAGTTTGGTTTAAAACTCCGTTGTATCAAAAAACGTATCAGATTTTTCTTCTAAAAATAAAAAAAAATACGGCTGTGTCTACCTTTTTAAGAAGCCTAGTAAATCGCATTAAATTAATCTCTTCGGTCAGATTTGACGTTTTAGTGAAAGAGCTGTAAACGTGATGACTGAATGTTTTCTGCGCCTTAAATTTTAATAACGAGTGTAAGATGTGTTATTGCAGTTTGCACAATAAAATCTGGCTCGCCAGTAAATAAAAATCTTGTATGACTTTACCGTAATTTATGTACTTTTCTATGTCCAAATGGAAAAAATGACTAATATCCTCGTTTTATTTTCAAATAGCCAGGAAGAACCAAAATGACAACTTTATAAATTTAATAAATTTTTGTGTTTCACAAAGCAGTCTTTTCAAAGACGCATTATTAGAAAACATTCTTGTGTTTATGATAAAAGGAAAATGGTATTGTAAGTGTGTTTGTCTTTTACCAATCTCGGTAAAATACACTTTCGGTTGATTTTCCGTCACATTTCAAGTTTACAGGAAAAAGGTATGAGGTTTTTTTGTTTTTGTTTTGTTTGTTTTTTTGTCACCCTCACTGTTTGATTGAAATCTTTACGAACAATGCAGAATATTCTCATCGCCAATCTTGCAGTCGTGGACCTGGCTCCGTGCAATTATAAACCTGCCATTTAACTTCATATGCCGTGCGTTGAAG